TTTTGTTGTTATATACCTGGATGACTGAGAAAACAAACTTTATGTTTCTGTTCATAGGAGTTAGCCAGGCCTCACTCTCACGGTTACAGCTGGTACAAAATGCCGCTGCACGATTTTTGACTGGTACAGGCGTGAGCACGTCACTCCAGTTCTGATGTCCCTTCACTGGCTTCCTGTCCAGTTTCAAATTCATTTTAAAGTTCTATTGTTTGTTTTTAAGTCTTTGAACGGTCTTAGCTTCACTTTTACATACCATCACGTGCTCTTAGATCCTCTGACCAGATGCTTTTAGCAGTCCTGAAAACCTTTTGTACCTTTTGTAAATCCAGAGGAGACAGAGCCTTTTCAGCTCTGGCTCCTAAACTGTGGAATGAGCTGCCGCTGGAGGTCAGGCAGGCCCCGTCACTTTCTGTTTTTAAAACTCGTTTAGAAACACTTTTTTTTTCATTGGCTTTTAACCTAGAGTGAGTCAGCATCTGTGTCTTAATGTTATATTCTTTTATTTATGATGTTCTGATTATTTTTATATATATACATATATATATTTAGGTGTTTTTATTGTTTTACTGTTTTTTGTTTGTTTTTAATTTTGTACAGCACTTTGGACAGCTGCTTGTTGTATTTTAAGTGCTTTGGAAATAAATTGGTATGGAATGGTATGCTGGAGCACAGGATGCTCTCCACTGCACACCTGTAGAAGGAGGTGAGGACTGAGCTTCCCAGACCAGCTCGTCTCAGCCGTCTGAGGAAGTAGAGTCTCTGAAGAGCTTTCTTGATCAGGCTGGTGGTGTTGTTGCTCCAGCTGAGGTTGTCATTCATGTGTACACCCAAGTACTTGTAGCTGGAGACCACTTCCACCGCAGATCCTCTTATGTTCAGGGGGGTTTAGGTGTGTTTGTTCCTTCTGAAGTCCACAATCATCTCTTTTGTTTTCTTCACATCGATGTGAATGTTATTCTTTTTGCACCAGCTCTCCAGGTGTTAAATTTGCACAGAAGCTCGTCGCGTGCACGCGTTTACTTCCGCGTATCAGCTTTTGAAATACAGCTGATTTAACCGTCAAAGTGCGTTTATTAAGCAAACGTTAGACTTAGACACACATTTACTATAATTTTGAGCAAACAAATAACAGTTTTTAAATGTTAATCTTGTTAAATTCTTGTTAAAGTCCTCCCGTGCATGCTCCTGCGGCCGCCATTTGGCAGCCCATCGATTTTTGGCACAACACCGGCCCACATTTCTGGGTTCAGCCCACATTTCTGGGTAGTCAGCGGTGACGTGTAACAAATGCGATGTGAAAGTTGTGATGCATAATAGATGCGACGTATACAGTGAAGCGACATATTTATGGATTTTTCCACTTTATTAGACAAATATGGACTGATGCGACTTATCGGGCAGAACGACGTGTATGGCAGAAAATATGGTACTTGGTGTGTCATCTGGACGGAGAATGGATGGTAAGGAAACCTGGTGGTGGAATAGTGAAGTGCAGGACGCTGTTCAAAAAAAGAGGTTAGCCAATAAGAAATATGACAGTGAGAAGACTGAAGAGAGGAGACAGGAATATATGCAGATGGGACGTAGAGCAAACAGGGAAGTAGCAAAGGCAAAGCAGAAGGCATATGATGAGTTGTATGAGAGGCTGGACACTAAAGAGGGCGAGAAGGACTTGTACCGATTGGCAAGACAGAGGGATCAGGCTGGAAAGGATGTGCAGCAGGTTAGGCTTATTAAAGATAGGAATGGTAATGTTCTAACAAGTGAGGAGAGTGTGACGGGAAGATGGAAGGAGTACTTTGAGGAGCTAATGAATGAAGAGAATGAAAGAGCAAGAAGATTAGAGGTTGTAGAAACTGTGGACCAGGTAGTGGGAAAGATTAGAGAGGGTGAAGTCCGGAAAGCTCTGAAAAGAATGAAAAAGGGGAAGGCCGTAGGACCTGATGACTAGTGGAGGTTTGGAAATGTCTTGGAGAGATGGCAGTGAGGTTTTTGACTCAAATATTCAATGGCATATATGAGGTTGAGAAAATGCCTGAGGAATGGAGAAGAAGTGTGCTGGTGCCCATTTTTAAGAACAAGGGTGATGTACAGAGTTGTAGCAACTACAAGGGAATTAAGTTGATGAGCCAAACGATGAAGATCTGGGAGAGAGTTGTGGAAGCAAGACTTAGACAAGAGGTGACTATCTGTGAGCAGCAGGATGGTTTCATGCCAAGAAAGAGCACCACAGATGCCATCTTTGCTTTGAGGATGCTGATGGAGAAGTACAGAGCGGGTCAGAAAGAACTCCACTGTGTCTTTGTGGATTGAGAAAAAGCATATGACAGGGTGCCGAGGGAGGAGGTGTGGTATTGTATGAGGAAATCTGGAGTAGAAGAGAAGTATGTTAGACTGGTACAGGACATGTATGAGGACCGCAGGACAGTGGTGAGATGTGCTATAGTAGTGATAGATAGCTTCAAGATGAAGGTGGGAGTGCATCAAGTATCAGCTCTGAGCCCCTTCTTGTTTACTCTGGTGATGGATCGAATAACAGATGAGGTCAGGCAGGAATCCCCATGGACTATGATGTTTGCAGATGACATTGTGATCTGTGGTGAGAACAGGGAACAGGTGGAAGAGAACTTGGAGAAGTGGAGGTATGAACTTGAAAGAAGAGGAATGAAAGTCAGTCATAGTAAGACAGAGTACGTGTGTGAATTAGAGGGAGGCCGGTGGAACAGTGAGGCTACAAGGAGCAGAGGTCACAAAGGTGCAGGACTTCAAGGACTTGGGGTCCACTGTCCAGGAAAATGGGGAGTGTGGTAAAGAGGTGAAGAAGAGAGTCCAGGCAGGATGGAGTGGATGGAGAAAAGTTTCAGGAGTGATTTGTGACAAAAAGGTCTCGGCAAAGGTCAAAGGAAAAGTTTACAAAACAGTGGTGAGACCAGCTATGATGTATGGTCTGGAGACAGAGGCATTGACAAAAGACAGGAGACAAAACTAGAGGTGCACCGATAAATCGGCCCTGATTTCCTTAATTTTGGGAAATTGGAAATCGGCCAATACTTGCATGAGAAACCGATTTTACAGATTTTTTTAGTTTTAACAACAATTGTCTAAACTTCATTTATATTTCAGAGCACTACCTCATGGCCAGTTAAAACAAGTTTGTATTGTTTCTAGGATATTGTTCAAGGGTATGTTTTTCAATAAAATAAGATTGGAAAATTGAAGGTGCATTGTGACCTTATAACACGTGACAGTGTCGCTTATAAAACAAAATCAGTATCGGCCAAAATCGGAATCGGCAGGTCAGACTTTTTAGAAATCGGTGATCGGCCAGAAAAGTGCTATCGGTGCACCCCTAGACAAAACTGGAAGTGGCAGAAATGAAGATGTTGAGGTTCTCCTTGGGAGTAACAAGGATGGAGAAGATTAGGAATGAGATCATCAGAGGTACAGCACAGGTTGAACAGCTGGGAGATAAAGTTAGAGAGGACACACTGAGATGGTTTGGACTCGTCCAGAGGAGGGACAATGGGTATATTGTTGGTAGAAGAATATTAGAAATGCAGCTGTCTGGAAAAAGACAAAGAGGAGATATATGGATTCATTTAGAGAGGACATGGAGGTAGTTGGAGTGAGGACAGAGTGAGATGGAGGAGGATGACTCACTGTGGCGACCAAGCCGAAAGAAGAAGACGACAAGCCTTTTTTTTAAACTCTAGCTTTTGACTACCATTCTGCTACTTTTAGTATTTACTGCCAGTTTGTTCCTTTAATTTTTGTATATTATCTTTAATGTTTCTCTGTCTTCTCACTCATGTTCAGAAGAGGAAATCTTCCTCCCTGCTGGATGCTCGTATAGCTAAGATTTACCGACGACACCTACACGGCAACGATGGGGACGACTCAGCCAGTGATGACGATGGTTTGTCTGCTTTAAAACTGAACCAGAAACACTTTATCTTATCAGAAGTTTTTTTGTGGAATTAAAGTATTGTGAAAAAACTGCTGGAATCTCAGGGAAGTACTCTTGTTTTGTTGTAATCTGTACAGGATCTCAGAGAAGAAAGATGGTTCTTTCTGCTCGAGGAGGGACCCACTCATCCAGAAGGGCATTTGGTGCCAACAGAAGAGGCCTGCTGCGAGGAGGTCTGTCCCACAGAGGAACCAGAGGAGGTCCTGGCTCCACCTCCATCCACAGAACAAAAAGAGGGTTAGGCATGAGGGAGGTGGGTCGAAGAGGACGAGGCGTCAGGCTCCGCGGAGGTTCCAGGATGCATCGAAGAGGAGATGAATCTGAGGAGTCTGATGATGATGACGACGATGACGATGATGATGATGACGACGATGACGATGATGATGATGACGACGACGAAGAGGAGGAGGAGGAGGAGGGTGACAGTGAAGGAGACAAAGAACGACTTCATCGCCGACGCTGGAGACGTAGGAGAGACTATGATGAGGAGGACAGTGAGGGTCAGGAGTTTGAACCTGAAGAAGACGAGATGGACGCAATAGAAGATGAAGACATGAAAAGGGATGATGAAGAGGAGGAAGAGCACTGGGATTCAGATCCAGAACCTCCTGTCCTCCTGGTGTCTGATTTGAATGATGACTTGCTGAGTGGCTCCTACCTGACAGTCACCTTACAGCACCCCCATCAGGCCAAGACCCAGTCTGGTAAGCATAGCCTTCTTAACTGGGTCGGAATCTGTCTCAACAGAGACGTTCCTTCATCTCAGACCCAGTGCGGGTTGTTCTGTTAAAAATGTATTTTCTCTTCACGATACAGTGTACTGATGAATCAAACATTTGATTAATTCACTAAAAACACACCGATATTTATTCTCATATTGCATCATGTCTACCTATTTCCATCTTCAGAGGAGATGAAGGCAGCAGACTAGTTTCAGCTCTGCCTCTTTAAATTAGCCAAGGAACCAGCTAGATTATCTGCACAGGTAAAAAACAAACAAACCACCGACTCAACTCCAAATCCATTTGGCTTATCGAACTGTATCTGGACATGCACACACACTAATTTTTAATGATCGGGGGGGGGGGGGCGCACTGGTCTCACAGGACTCTCGTTCTAGTCTGTATAAATAAAGGTTGAATAAAAATATTATAATAATCTGGGGATTTTGGTGCTGGATACTGAACAAGTTGTGTACAAGAACTTCTGCCCAGGGACGGCACATAAAATATTCTGTTCGGTTAATGTTTTTGTCCGGACAAAGAACCATTTCCACAGTGCAACGTTTAGTTTAACAAAAATACCAAGGGTGGGTCTACATTTACAGCCCACTGTGTCTGTCTTTTTTCAGGCTCTATAGTTCCAAAGCTAGAAGCCGCCATGGGTCCATGGACAGCTGCAGTAGGTGGGGGTCAGCAAGGCTTCATCCAGAGGAAAGTCGCTCATTCTAAACCATCCAGACTCAGGACGACAGATTCAACATCTGACTCTCTTACACCCAGAGGTCCTGGCAGGTAGAGCTCCCAACAAGATACCTTTCACTTTGAAACAATACTGGTTCTGTTTGGAATGTAAAGCTGATGTTAAATAGGGAGAAAATATCTATAAGCCACAGGTTGATAGACAGAAGCTGTGCAACTAAAACAAACATTTTATGTGTATATATATATATATATATATATATATATATATATATATATATACAGACCCTTTCCAAAAAAATTTTAGAATATCATGGAAAAGTTGTTTAAGAAAAGTTGTTTAAGAAAAGTTGTTTAACTTCCATAATTCCATTCAAAAAGTTAATCTTTAATAGATTAAAGATTCAGGGCCCACAATTTAAATGATTTCAAGTATTTATTTGTTTATTTTTACATAATTTGGGCTTCCATCTCATAAAACCCACAAAAACAGGAATTCAAAAAATTAAAATAATGTGGATAAATCAGTCCAAATGTTGCAGGACATGAATGTTTTAAACTGAGTGTGACACTAATCATCTACTAAACTCAAAGCACCTGCACAGGTTTCCCCAGGTGTCATTAAATTGCTTCAGTTTGGTTCAATTGTCTCAGTTCGGTTCAATATGGAGAAGACTGCAGACATAACAACTGTCCAGGAGACCATCATTGATGCCCTCCATAGGATGGGTAAGTTCATAGCTAAGGAGGCTGGCTGTTCACAGAGTGCTGTGTCCAAGCATATCAATGGAAAGTCTAGTGGAAGGGCAACATGTGGCAGGAGAAGATGCACCAGCAAAAGAGATGACTGTGGGCTTCAGTGGATTATCAAACAGAGAAGATTCCAGAATCTGTCAGAGATCCAGAAAGAGTGGAATGAGGCGGAGTCACAGCTTCAAAAACCACCACATTCAGACGCATCTGGGAGATGGGCTACAACTGTCGGGTTCCTCGGTTCCAGTGATGGTAAAGTTTCATTCAGAAATCAAGGTCCAAGTGTTTGGAGGAAGAGGGTGAGGAACAGAACCCATACTGGTTGAGGTCCAGTGTGAAATATCCTCAGTCATGATTTGAGGTGCAATGTCCGTGCAGGTGTTGGTAAACTCTGCTTTCTTAAATCCAAGGTCACCGCACCAGTCTACCAGGATGTTTTAGAGGACTTCATGATTCCTTCTGCTGAGGATCTGTATGGAGATGCAGATTTCATCTTCCAGCAGGACCTGGTCCCTGCCCATGATGCCAGAAGCACAAAACCTGGTTTGATGTCACAGTCCTTGACTGGTCAGCAACTGGCCGGACCTAAACCCCGTTGAGAATCTATGGGGTCTTCTCAAGAGGAACATGAGGAGCACCAGACCCAAGAACAAAGAAGATCTGACAGCATCAAGGAAATCTGGACTTCCATCACTCCCAGTCAATTCCACATCACATCGAGGCAGAGATTAAGACAAAGAGGTTCCCAACCAAGTGTTGAAGATTGACATATCATTTTGAAAATACCATATTTTGATTGATTTGTTGTGATCCTAATTTATTTTTTTTCCTGCAAAAACTGAGAAGTAGTGTCGGCTGATTTCTTCACATTATTCTAATTATTTGAAATCATGTTTTTTTGGGTTTCATGAGCTGGAAACCCAAATTAAATATAAACAAATAAATACTTGAAATCATTTAAATTGTGGGCCCTGAATCTATTATCTATTAAAGATTAACTTTTTGAATGGAATTATGGAAGTTAAACAACTTTTCCATGATATTCAAATTTTTTGGCAAGGGTTTGTGTATATATATATATATATATATATATATATATATATATACACATGTGTATGTGTATATGGTATTGTACTGTATATATTAGGGATGCACAATATTGAATTTTTGGCCTATATCCGATACCACTACCTATACTTTTTCCCCTAGACCTACTTACAGAGACTACATCACTTTCTCTGCTGTGGAATTAAAATACTACATTATTCTGCACGGTCTTTGTCAATTTGGCCTTCTACCAAATGCAGATGCCAAAACGGGGGCTGAAAATGATGCAACACTTCAACTTGGATTATGTTTAATGTCAAATTTATTAATAACATTTACTCTGTATAACACAGTGACAACACTGGAACAGTGCACGTTTGTCAATTTTCACAAATCTAAACTCAGCGGCGCTCGTGACATCATAATATTGGATAAATACTGCATGGGCGATTATCTTTCAGCTGCAACAAGTTATTTAACTCCAACTAGTGCAATGAGTTGCTTCTCCTTTCTTAAACAACCGTGTTGTGGTCGTGGAAAAGATGTCAGTCTGTTTGAGAAGGGTCAAATCATTGGCAGTCATCAAGCAGAGAAAACATCTGAGGAGATTGTAGAAACTATTAAAACTGTGTTAAGAACTGTCCAACACATTCTGATGCATGCTCATTAATGCAGGTAGAAAGATCTTAAAAAAGTTCAATCTGGTCCTCTGGAGTCCAGAGGACCAGATTGAACTTGTTTAAGATGTCCAACACATTATTAAAAACTGGAAGGATAGTGGGGACTCGTCGTCATCGAGGAAGAAATGTGGCCGGAAAAAAATCCTGAATGATCGTGATCGTGATCACTGAAACGTTTGATGAAATCAAATGGAAGAACAACAACAGCAGCACTCAGGGCTGTGTTTAATATTGAAAGTAAGAACATTTCCACACGCACAATGTGAAGAAACTCAAAGAATAGGGACTGAACAGCTGTGTAGCCTTAAGAAAACCACTAATCAGTGAGACGAACTGGGAAAAAAACAGGCTTCAATTTGCTAGGGAGCATAAAGATTGGACTCTGGAGCAATGGAAGAAGGTCATGTGGTCTGATGAGTCCAGACTGACCCTGTTCCAGAGTGATGAGTGCATCAGGGTAAGAAGAGAGGCAGGTGAAGTGATGCACCCATCATGACTAGTGTCTAGTCATCAATGAAAGATCTTGGTGAAAAATTAATGCAACACTGGATGAAACAGATCGTGTGACATTGAAGAAGTTTATTGAAACAATGACACTGTGAATGCATGATGTCATCAAAGATAAAGGAGGTCCAACGAAATATTAGTGTGTGACCTTTTTTTTTTGTCCAGGCAGTGTACAGTATATTGAGTTAAAACTTGATGTGGCTGAGAGTCTTTCACAGCACACCGATATCTTGAATCTGCTTCAGTCCAATTCAAGATGGCTGCTGCACCTAATCAGTCTTAGTTTGGGTGTGGTAGTAGCTGAGAGTCTTTCACAGCACGTAAGAGCACAAACAGATGGGGAGATATTCAATTAAAATGTTGGCATTAAAGGTGGTAGATGGTATGCATTGTTTCGAGACCTGCTAGTTTTAGATGCATATTTTTTTTGTCTTTCAAGATCTTTATTTACAAGCCAACGAGGAAACAAACCAAAACCAACCAAATGGCTTGATGATATATATGAAAATGTGAAAATGTTGAAAATGTGTACCAGTTGTAACCATTTCTCTCCTACTATGCAAATGTTTGTGTATAGAACACAATTTAATATTGTGTTTGATCGTATAGGCCTCGGGTTCGAGGAAGCCAGGCCGATAAAGGCAACAGAAACCAGTCTGCATCTTCAGATGAAGACGAGGCTGCTCCTCCATCTGCAGCCACCACCCTGATTCCATCTCTGCTGTCGTCGCCATCCTTTAAAGACGTGGGCAGTGAGAGAGGGGGGGACAAAGAGTTGTGGGTGTCTGTGTTTAAATACCTGAACAGAGCTGAGCTCCTGGTCTGCATGACAGTATGTAAGGCCTGGTACAAGTGGTACGTCACAAATAAACACACACATGGATGTTCTGCTTGTTGTAGATGATCCTGAGTCAGTTTTCTCTCAAAGCAGGCTTCCATCACTGTATTAATCGTCCAGTCCTGCCTCTTTGTTGTTTAGGAGTTGTGACAAGCGTCTGTGGAGTCGAATCGATGTGAGTCGGTGCAGCCCGCTGAGTAACCAGGCCCTTGCAGGAATTGTCAAACGCCAGCCCGTCTCTCTGGACCTATCCTGGACCCCGCTGGCCAGGAGACAGCTTAACTGCCTTCTTACCAGACTCCCAGGTAAGGGCAGTCAGGATCACATGGGCTCTCTGGACTCATGTGACAAAATGGGTGTAGTTCAGTTCAACTGAGTGCAGCACCAATCACAACAGAAGTTGTCTCAGGGCACTGAACATAAACATTCACCTACATTATAAAAGACCGTTAGTAAAAGTTATCACTTTAAAGAAGCAGCAGATTGTGTTGAGTCTTCACTTCGTCACAGTCTCCCATCCTGAGCAAGAACAAAGGAGACCGTGGAAAGGAAAACTCCCATTTAACAGGGAGAAACCTCCAGCAGAACCAGGATCAGGATGAGCGGCCATCTTGCTTCGACCAGCTGGGTTTGAGAGGACAGGAAGGACAGACAGACAAACACAGACAGACAGGTCCAGATGTACATTCTATAGGAGGAAAGACAAAAAAACAGGTTAAGATAGAAACAATTACAAATACAACACAGGTAGAGTAAGTAAAGACAGCACTAGAGAGAGGAAACGTGGTCAGTTTGTCCTCCAGCAGTCTAAGCTTTTAGCAGCTTAACTAAGGGACAGCTCAGGAAACCCAAGCCAACACTAACTATAGGATTTATCAAAAAGAAAGACTTAAGCCCAGTCTTAAAACCGGACAGTGTGTCAGCCTCACAGACAGAAAGTGGAAGATGGTTCCACAAGAGAGGAGCCTGAGAACTGAAAGTTCTGCCTCCCATTCTGCTTTTGGAAACTAGGATCCACAAGTAAACCTGCAGTCTGAGAGTGAAGTGCTCTGTTAGGAAAATATGGAACAATGAGGTAAGTAGTAGGGGTGTAACGGTACGCTAAAATCACATTTCGGTTCAGTTCAGTTTCAAGGAGGGCTCGGTTCGGTTCATTTTCGGTACAAAAAAGACAAAATAAAGACTTACAAAATGTTTCTTTTAAAAATATGCTAAGTAAACAATATGATTGTATAAAAATAAATACAAGCGACCCATTTGGATGATATTTTAAATAAACGTCACTCTTTACAATAAAAAAACTATACTAACAATAATAAAAATCTTTATAAATACAATAACAGTCAGAACCAGAACAATATGCAGCAACAGTTTACAATCTAACTAATCAAGTTTTAAGGTTTTGGCCAAAAAGACAAACTTATCTACATTTTCTGCCAAAAGCTCAGATCTAGTTGCAGTGACATTATCTCCAGCGGTGGAGAAAACCTCTCACTGGCATCAGTAGCAGGAATAAAGAGGTAGAGCTTTGCTAGTTTTGCAGTGTGGCTGTATTTAGCCTCATTGTCTTTCCACCAAAGAAGAGTCATCTTCAAGGGAAGGGCTCCCTGAAGCTCTGTACTCACAGCCTCTTGGACCTGCTCCCACCTGTCCCTGGAAAAGTTCAGAGTTCAGTCATCACACACTTCTTAGCTGGAGGTGATCTCTGGTGGATTTCCCTGAAGAGGAAGACACAAGACACAAGATCAGAAAAAGCTCAAAATGATGTGACTTTACTGACCTCAGTGAAATAGCAACAACTGGAGAGTTTAAACACGAACGGTAATGTTCGTCATGGTAACAAGGTGTGCTAACCATCAGCTTTACTGTGAATTTAGCATCAGTTCTGTGTTTAATTGGTACAGTGCAAATATTGTGACAAAGTGCTGCACAAACAGCTGTTCTCTCATTGACACAGAATATTTTAGTTTACAGTGACCACAGCAGGTCCAAAAATAATTAGAATTAAACTTCCGGATCGGTATCGGCGACAATGTGACCGATCCATTTTCTGATCCATGATGCATGTTGGCTTCAAACTATGGAATGGATTTCATGAAAGGAGGCGTGTCTCATGAGCCCAGAGTAATAAGACCCGCCTCACATTCAAGCCTCCCCAACTGGAAAAGCAGCTTGAGTAGCAGCTTTGTTTGTCCCTATCAGGCGCTGCTGTAAAAATAAGTTTGAGGTGGCCACATTAATTCTTCAAATGTGCCCATTTTGACCAGACTTTGAAGATTTGACACTACTGCCCATCTGCAGTATTAACTTGTGTGGGGTCACTTCAGCTCAGGAGGAGGTCCAACAGCTCAGATCAGGATGGCTTGTATTCATACTGACAGGTGTTTGCTGATAAAGGGTCCACACTGCCTGCAAACATGGTTTGAGGGAAAACCTTTTCAGTATTTATTGAAGTAGTTCATACCTTTTATTTAACGCTATCCAAGTGCCAGGTGTGGACAGGGTCACAGAGACAGAGACGTGTTCTGGCTGCCTCAGTATGACCTCTGAATACACCGAGGTGGCGAGGGGAGTCAAAGCCAGCACACCTCTGGTGTGCCCCTGTGTTGCCAAGCCAAGTAGTGACAGAGACAAAACCGCTGACGTGTGAAAAAGTAAACGGTGCCACAGCTCAATATTGTAAGTAAGTAAGTAAAGTTTATTTATAAAGCGCTTATCACAGACATAAAATCACAAAGCACTGTACAATAAAAATCAACACTAAAATATACAAAGAATAAAACAAGCATAAGAACTACAAGAAGCACAATAAAAAAAAATCACGACATAAAAGCCTGGGAGAATAAAAGTGTTTTCAGTTGCTTTTTAAAAACCTCAACAGAGTCAGCAGAACGAAGCTGCAGGGACAAACTGTTCCACAGCCTGGGGGCCACTGACTGAAAGGCCCTGTCCCCTTTAGTTTTCAGCCACATACGTGGAACATCCAAGAGGTTCTGTGACTGGGAGCTAAGGCCACGAGCAGCAGAGTATTTGGTTAAAAGCTGACAAAGATACACAGGAGCCATTTAAAGCTCTGTACGTCAGCACAAGAACTTTAAAACGGATTCTAAACTCAACTGGGAGCCAGTGTAGTGAATATAGAACCAGAGTGATGTGACAGTATTTGCTGGATTTGGTGAGAAGTCTGGCAGCTGCGTTCTGTATCACTTGTAGACGTGAAACAGAAGACTTGTCCAGGCAGGTAAAAAGGGCATTACAGTCGTCCAGACGTGATGACACAAAAGCATGAATAATTTTCTCTAGATCAGTTCTGGAGACCAGAGGTTGTATTTTAGAGATGTTTCTTAAATGAAAGAAACAAGAACGAGAAATATCTCTAATGTGAGACTCAAAGCCTAATGATGAGTCAAATGTGACTCCTAAATTTTTTACTTTTGATTTGGCTACTGGGCAGAAAGAGGCAATTTTCTGATTGATTTTTGGATGAAAATGACTGGGAGTAGTAATCAAAGTCTCTGTCTTACTGGTGTTTAAAACCAGGAAGTTACTGGCAAGCCAGTCACCGATACGGGACAAACATTAGACAAGGATGGCCAATTTATTTAGCTGGTGTGGTCTAAATGAAAAATACAACTGAATGTCATCAGCATAAATGTTATAGGAAATATCAAAAAAGGATTGACTAATGCTGGCAAGTGGGATAATATAAAAGGAAAACAAAAGTGGGCCCAGAACTGAGCCTTGTAGCACCCCACAAGTTAAGGGGGCATAATCAGAGGAGAACCTGGCCGTCTTGATGCAGAAAGTTCTGTGAGATAGGTATGATGTGAGCCAGTCCAAAGCTGAGCCAGAAATACCAGCTGCAACCTTCAGTCTGTTTAATAAGGTTGTGTGGTCGACAGTATCAAAGCAGCACTAAGATCTAACAGGACCAGCACAGAGCATTTTTTCAGCAAAGTTTCATTTTGACAATTAATGAGGTCAGATCATTTAAAGTAATCGGAACAAAAGAAGAAAATGACTCAGAACACTGAGGCTCATCTGGAAAAGTAGAGGAACTTGGAGATATATTGGATTTCAGGTCCATCACTTACTTTACAAAAAAACGGAGAAACATGTTACAGTCGTTGTTTGAGGTTAATGAAGCCTGGTGCGCTGGAGGAGATACAAAACTGCTGATAGCATCAAATAACTCTTTAGGATTATTTGTGCTCAGGTGAATGAGATTGCTAAAATACGATGACCTGACTTCACTAACTGTCTTGTTATAAGCACCAAGGAGCTCCTTAAAATATTCCCGGTGGACAACCAGACCAGTCCTCTTCCACAAGCGTTCTGTTTTCTGACAAGAGCGCCTGAGTTCTCGAGTTTGATTGTTTAACCGAGGTGAACAGCGGTAAACGGGCCCACTGCGGGTTTTGTAAGGAGCAATACTGTCAAGAATAGTAAGGCAGTGATCATTAAAAGAGTCAACCAGAAGCTCCACATCATCATCGTCATCATCGGGAGGTGTTGTAAATGAAAAGAGGGAAGAAAACTCTGCGACTACAAAACTGTCAATAAAGCGTCTGTGCTTACTGGTAACCTGAGAAAAAGTCTCCAAATAACAGGAAATATTAAAAGAGACAACCTTATGGTCACTGAAAACAACATGTTTTATATGTAGATTATTAAGAGTGAGTCCATAAGTAAAAACCAGGTCGAAAGTGTGGCCTGCAGTGTGAGTAGGCTCAGACACATGCTGTGAGAAGTTAAAAGAGTTCATAATATTAAGAAAGTCCATAGCGGGATGGTTTGTTGGATCATCAACATGAACATTAAAATCTCCAGAGATGATGATCCTATTTAGCTTGAATGTAAAATATAAAAAATCCTGAAAATCTGAGAGAAAAGGTGAAGCAGGTCCAGGTGGTCAATAAACCAGGATGGCATATATAGGCTCAACTTTGCCTATTCGGACCATGATCATCTCAGAGGAGTTGTAAGTAGAAGACGTGATCATTTGACATAGAAAAGTCCTTTTATAGATGACAGCTGTGCCACCTCCACGGCCTGTCCTCCGTGGTGCAGATAAACAAGAACACCCCTCAGGACAGAGTTCCAGGAGATGTGAAACATCATTTTCACGCTGCCATGTCTCAAATAAACAAAAAGTCTAAGCTCTCAGAGCGAAACAAGTCATTTAAAATGAAGGACTTATTGGCAACAGAGCGTGCATTAATTACCAACATTTGAACAGAGAAAGCTGCTGACCGTGTAGAGGGGTCCACAGCGGCATCGGGATGACGTGGCAAGCTGCGCAGTGAGTCAGGATTCCTCCCGCGGTGAACTTTGGATGCCCACAGCTTCAGGTGACAACCTGTGTGGGAAACTTCTGGGAGCGTTTGAACTAGTCCAGCACCAACATATCTGAGGTTGAATTGCTTGGCTGCACCGGATGCTGCCTCGTTTTTCTGAAGCCGACGGAGCAGCACCAAGAAGCCGGCTCACTTCCCCCCGCTTTCTTTGTCTGCGTGTCCAGAGCAGGGGTGGATCCACAGGTAAGAGAGGAGAGACGCCGGGAGGGACGCCGGGAGGGACGCCGGGTTCCAACGGTGGTGGAAATGTAACTCCGTTTTTATGACACTGAAGGTTGACCATCACAGACTTGATCGCCAGTAGCAAGTGGCGGTCATATGTCCGCAAGGAAGCCACCCCAGACAGAAACAACAATAAAATAGCATGAAGTAAGCAAACAACCTGGCAGAGGCCAAGCCAAACACAGGCGCCATCTTGCCACATCCTCATATTGTGATGATGTGAGGACAATAGTGTGCAACCGCCCAGTTGTGGGGTTAAACGACAAACAAATTTATTAACGACGTAATATCAATGATGATGTAGTGCAGAGGTTAGAGAAGGGGTGCTTGTGATCAGAAGGTTGCCAGTTCGACTCACCGGACCGACAACATGAAAATGTGGGTGGGAAAGGTGAAACACCCACGCCTGCCTCCACCCTCATTTGTCCCACTCTGGGCCCTTGAGCAAGGCCCTTAACCCTCACCATCTGCTCCCCCTCGTGCCTTAATTGGCAGCTCTGCTCCACACAGAGGGCTGTGGTAGCTCGGTGGTCTGTGGTTGTGTCAGGAAGGGCATCCAACAGTCACCAGGTCTTTGTGAGTTAGTTCGCTGTAGTGACCCCTGAAGAAGGGAGCAGCTGAAAGAAGAAGAAAAAAAAAATCAGTGATGACACACAGCAACTTGGTAGTTCATTAAAAATAGTTAACACAAAGAGGATCGCTAAACGGAGTTATTTCATCAGGTTTTGTAAATAACACAAGGCGGACGCTGAGCCCAGCTGAGTTCTGCTCCACACCTGTCTCAAAGACGGACTGGTGTGTGCAGCCATTGAGCTGAACTGTTTTATGAAAGAACCTTGGGTTTCATCAACCTGTCCTGGTTTCTTTGTGTGTCATCAGGTCTGAGAGAGCTGAGCGTGACTGGTCTGCCATGGTCCTGTCTGTCTGCTTTGGTTTCTCCCACTCTGCCCAATCTGCGTCTGTTGGATCTGCGCTGGTGTGAAGGGATCGGTGACGCACAGATTAAAGAAATCATCACTCCACCTGGTCAGTAAATGAGCACAGTTGAAGGTGTCACTCATGCATGGGTCTGTTTGTCAGTCTGTCTGCTAGAAAAATATCTCATTGATCATGGATGGATTTTACTCCAACTCCAATAATCACTGCATGTACTTCAACAAATAATTAACTTTTAGTCAATCTGATTTAAGATGGTTGCAACTGATAACAAAAATCACAAAATGCCTATAATTGAGTCAATTTTTACTGATAATAATGACTAGAGTGTAAAGAATCTTGCATCACAAGCGCGTGCTAAATTAAAAAGTGACAAGAATTCTCATCCAGTTGAAAACTGTAAAAAATCACCAGAACCTTGTCTGGTTAGATCATTTGATGAAATTATCAGTGAAAAACATTCCAATGCTTTAAATCAGTTGAGTGTTGGCAGTTTAACCAGTCAGGCGCTGGCTCTATTGCCTCTTTTCCATTAGTAGTGGTACAGCACGGTTCGACTCGACTTGACAGATGACAGACTTTTTCTCTGAGCGGTCCACTGCAGCGAGCTAACGGGAAAGTCCGGGGGGGGGGGGGGGGGGGTATGCATTTACGTGAGTAAAAGTTAGTACACAAATCGTACTCTGATAAACCACCATTGTGCCAAGGCTTTGGAACAGCTAACAGTGAAATGTTGACCACGTTATCTACCCCTCAAGTTCACAGTGGTGTTCAGTGTTTCCCCTACCATTATACAGGCGGGGTGCCCCACCCCATCAACAGAACTGAGCACCTCGCCTACCAAACTGAACTTGCCCCTCCCACCCTCACCCGGCACTGACATATCACTAAGCTAGTGGTGCAAAATACAGGCTCTCTAGCTAAAAAGCCAAAGGCAGCACTCACATTGCCTCTTCCCTCATGTTGAACGCCCCCCGCCCCTGCTCAAAAACTGTTAGTACAAGCTGCGTTCAGACATGTCTCTGTCTCCCCCATCAGCAAAAATCATGGATGAGATGAGCACCCCACCATGGCAAGCTAACTAGGGGAAACACTGGTGTTTATAACAGTCATTTACATAGCTCAGGATACAAATCCTACCGACGCTCTACAGGAGCTGCATGATAATATTAGCTCGCTGCAAAGCAAACACCAACACGTGGAAACAACACGCTGGACCGTGTTTAAACAAATGTACGAGATGCATACAACGCCGCCCCCACCTAGGACTCTGATCATATCTCCATCTTCCTGGCCCCTGCTTACCTCCCCCTGCTGAGACGCTCCAGACGATACAAAAGAAAGTTAAATATTGGATGCAGAATAGTGACGCCATACTGAAAGACTTCTTCACATGCACAGACTGGCAGGTCTTCAGAGAAGCTACTGAAAATGAGGGAGCGCTAGACCTGGAAGAATACACATCCTCAGTCCTGGAGTACATTAGTTTCCACCTGCCTGAAGACCGCCACCATCATCCCAGTCCCAAAGAGCTCTACAGTGACTGGTCTGGATGACTACAGACCAGTAGCCCTCACCCCGATAGCTGCTAAATGCTTCGAAAAACAGGTCATGACCCACATCAAAGCAGAAGGACTCCTATGTCCATATGCTCTTTGTGGACTTCACGTCTGCCTTCAACACCATGATCCCCCAAACCCTGATGGACAAACTACTCACACTAGGACTAAGCCCCTCCATTTGCAACTGGATACTAGACTTCTTAACAAACAGACTTCAGTCTGTAAGGATCCACAACTTCTCCTCCACCATAACCCTCAGCACTGGCTCCCCTCAGGGCTGTGTGCTGAGCCCTCTACTGTTCACTCTGCTCACATATGACCGTGTACCTACCCATCCAGGATGTCATATTGTCAAGTTTGCAGATGATACAGCGGTGATTGGATGCATCACAAACAACATTGCCTCCAGCTGCAGGCAAGGAGGTGGAACACCTGGAGAGCTGGTGCAGGAAGAACAACTTTCACATCAGTGTGAAGAAGACGAAGGAGATGGTCGTGGGAGGATCTGCGGTGGAAGTGGTTTCCAGCTACAAGTACTTGGGTGTGCACCTGAATGACAACCTCAGCTGGGGCAACAACACCACCAGCCTGATCAAGAAAGCTCATCAGAGACTCTACTTCCTCAGGCGGCTGAGACGAGCTGATCTGGGAAGCTCAGTCGTCACCTCCTTCTACAGGTGTGCAGTGGAGAGCATCCTGTGCTCCAGCATCAACGTGTGGCATGGAGGCTGCACAGCTGCAGAAAGAAAAGCTTTGCAGAGAGTGGTGAAGGCTGTACAGAAGATGTTGGAGTCAGCCTCCCCACCATCACAGACACCTACACCTCCAGATGCAGGAAGAGGGCCACCTGCATCATGAAGGACCCCACTCACCCAGCACAAACACTTTTTGCCCCGCTTTCCTCAGGCAGCTCAGCTGTGGAACAAGACGGCTAAAGCGTTAGCCCATAGCCCACCTCCTGGAGAAGCAGGAAGGAGGGGAGCGTGCTATGGGGCTGTGTGTTTGTGTACAAGGAGGGAGAAGGAGGGGCCGCGTGGGAGAAAGAAGACAGCTGGAGGATTTACAAGTATAAAACTATATCGTTTTATATCGATATTTTCTCAACTTATATCGCCCCCCAAAAAATTGTATTGATATTTTTTAAATATCGATATATCGGCCAGCTCTATATACAGTACTACTAGTGCATAGCATATTTTTAGTTAACGTTTTTCTTAGCTCATATCTTAGATCTTATTACTATTTTTCTTTTACATTTTATACTTTTGTTGAATGTAACTGGGACCCTTTACACACAATTTTGTTCCACCACATGCACCACGTGACAAAAAAAAGAATGACGAATAAAGAACCTTGAATCCTTTGAAGTTTCTTTATTTGTCATGCTTTTTGAGGATTAATCCTCCTCAAGGTCCTTCGTTCACCAACATTAACCACATGTGGTGCGAATGACAATAAAGACACCTTGACCTTACTTCTGCTGAGGTCACGCTGAGGAACTCCTCTTCAGATGGTGAGGTGAGTGCTGGGTGGTCTATTTGGATATTCAAAGTAGGCATAGAACTTGTTAAGAGCATCAGGCAGTGATGGGTCCCTTGGGCATTTTTCGCCCCTGCTTTTATATTCTGTTATGCACTTGATGTCCTTCCACATGCTCCATGGGTCCTGTGAAGAGAAATGTCCCTGGAACTTCCATGCGTTTGTTGCGTTGGCCCTCTTAATACCAGCAGCCAGCTCTTTCCTTGTCCTCCCCAGTTCCTGTGAGTCGCCAAGCCTGAAGGCAGCATCCCTGGCTTTTCAGCAGAGTATGGACAGGGTTCAGCCAGGGTTTCTGATTCGGGTCACAGTCCATCACAGTCCTGGTGGTGGTGACAGCTTCACACTTGATGTACCTAGGACAGCAGATCTGTATTCCTCCAGATCCAGTTCCCCCTCATTGACAGCGGCCTCCCTGAAGATCTGTTGATGTCAACCTAAATGGTTTTATTCGACAAAAAGGAATGCAACTGACTTCACTGTTCAGATATTATTAGCCGGGGGTGTATGTGGGTCTGGTAAGTTTCCATGTCTCCTGAAGGCAATAATATAGCTTTGTTCTTCTTGATGTGGTACCTCGTCATCTGAAGCCCCGCCCGTCATCTGAAGCCCCGCCCTCCACACCAGAGCAATTTGAAACTGTGCAACAAATTTAGTGTAAAAGACCTGAAGGCCAAAAAAGAAAGAAAAAAATTAAAAACAAGTATAGAACACTGTGTATACAGATCACATGTTCAATCAACTAAAGTCCATCCCATAATGAGCTTTCCAGATTCTATTCACGGTCTCCTTTGTGTGTGCAGGTCTGGAGTCGTCCCGCAGCCGTCTGAGGAACATGGTGACGCTGCATCTGTCCGGTCTGGATATCAGCGAGTCCACCTTGAGACTCCTGCAGCGTCACATGCCCCAGCTGGAGAAACTGGACCTGGCTCACTGCAAGAACATATCCGATTCTTCTGTTGCCCTGCTCACAGCCCCTGGGACTCACACCCACAACAACCTAACCGAGCTCACTCTGTCTGGTAAGAGTTTGAACACAGTCACTCTCCCATGAATTCCTCTTGGTTTTCAGTAGAAATCAGCAGGCTGATGCTCTGTGTGTCTTTTGAGATGAACACCTGCTCAGAACATACAGTACATCGATCCTGAAGCCCTGACTGAGCTACCACTGAGCCAATGCCTCTCCTGCTTTGGCTCCACTCGCTGAGGTTCTGTATACATACAGACCCTTTCCAAAAAATTAGAATATCATTGAAAAGTTGTTTAACTTCCATAATTCCATTCAAAAAGTTAATCTTTAATATATTATAGATTCAGGGCCCACAATTTAAATGGTTTCAAGTATTTATTTGTTTATTTTTACATAATTTGAGCTTCCAGCTCATAAAACCCACAAAAACAGGAATTCAAAAAATTGGAATAATGTGAAGAAATCAGCCCAAATGTTGCAGGACATGAATGTTTTAAACTGAGTGTGACACTAATCATCTACTAAACTCAAAGCACCTGCACAGGTTTCCCCAGGTGTCATTAAATTGCTTCAGTTTGGTTCAATTGTCTCAGTTCGGTTCAATATGGAGAAGACTGCAGACATAACAACTGGCCAGAAGACCATCATTGATGCCCTCCACTGGATGGGTAAGTTCATAGCTAAGGAGGCTGGCTGTTCACAGAGTGCTGTGTCCAAGCATATCAATGGAAAGTCTAGTGGAAGAGCAAAATGTGGCAGGAGAAGATGCACCAGCAACAGAGATGACCGTGGGCTTCAGTGGATTATCAAACAGAGAAGATTCCAGAATCTGTCAGAGATCCAGAAAGAGTGGAATGAGGCGGAGTCACAGCTTCAAAAACCACCACATTCAGACGCATCTGGGAGATGGACTACAACTGTTGGGTTCCTCGGTTCCAGTGATGGTAAAGTGTGCCTTTCATTCAGAAATCAAGGTCCAAGGGTTTGGAGGAAGAAGGGTGAGGAACAGAACCCATACTGGTTGAGGTCCAGTGTGAAATATCCAGTCAGTCATGATTTGAGGTGCAATGTCCGTGCAGGTGTTGGTAAACTCTGGTTTCTTAAATCCAAGGTCACCGCACCAGTCTACCAGAATGTTTTAGAGGACTTCATGATTCCTTCTGCTGAGGATCTGTATGGAGATGCAGATTTCATCTTCCAGCAGGACCTGGTCCCTGCCCATGCTGCCAGAAGCACAAAAACCTGGTTTGATGTCACAGTGTTTGACTGGTCAGCAACTGGCCGGACCTAAACCCCACTGTGAATCTATGGGGTCTTCTCAAGAGGAACATGAGGAGCACCAGACCCAAGAACAAAGAAGATCTGACAGCATCAAGGAAATCTGGGCTTCCATAACTCCCAGTCAATGCCACGTCACATCGAGGCAGAGATTAAGACAAAGAGGTTCACAACCAAGTGTTGAAGATTGACATATCATTTTGAAAATACCATATTTTGATTGATTTGTTGTGATCCTAATTTATTTATTCTTTTTTGCAAAACTGAGTAGTGTGGGCTGATGTCTTCTCATTATTCAAATTTTTTGAAATCCTGTTTTTTTGGGTTTCATGAGCTGGAAGCCCAAATGATGTAAAAATAAATACTTGAAATCATTTAAATTGTGGGCCCTGAATCTATCATCTATTAAAGATTAACTTTTTGAATGGAATTATGGAAGTTAAACAACTTTTCCATGATATTCTAATGTTTTGGCAAGTGTCTGTACAATTAATCCTAGAAACACCATCTGTTTTGGTTCTTGAATATCAAAACATCTTCCTTTCTCTTGAGGGGGACAGATGAGAATAGATCAATCCCAAAAGTGCTGGCAGAGAGAAGTGATCAGCTGCAGTCAATCATGATCACCACGAACAAGCTGATAGGTCTTGGCCTTACGTTAAAACATGCAAAAGCTAAACAAAACTAAAAGATTTCTGTGTATTTGAGCCTCTGTGGATCTGAGAAAATCCACAATAAAGTAAAACTTCTGCACCCATCTTTTTAGATTATCAGTGCATCTTTATTATTTGTGATTAACAGGTTTGTGAATAACCATCAGGAGGCAGCCAGTGAGGTTTTATTTATCCAAAACACTCATAAAATGAAATACAGACAGAAATACAATTTTACTAACCTAAATGAATCTAGCTTATTTCACATGATTTATATCTGTATTTGAGGGCGGCTGTGGCTGAGTGGTTAGAGCAGTCGTCCTCCGATACAAGAGCTGGGGGTTCCAATCCACCAGCAGTCACATGCCTCGTAAGTGTCGCTGGGCAAGACACTGAACCCCTCGTTGCCTCCGATGTGTGTCCCATCGGTGTATGAATGTGATAAAGCTCTGATTAGTCTCTTTAGAATGATTTGTTCAATTATATCCTGATGCATGCTCAATAATCCAGGTAGAAAAATCTAAAAAAGTTCAATCTGGTCCTCTGGATATTCAAAAAAACAAAACAAACAAAAAAATGTAGAAACGTTTCGTCTCTCATCCGAGAGACTTCCTCAGTCTGAGGAGCTGTATTCAGCTCAGTCTCTTAAATAGCACCTTCTCAGAGTGGATCAACCAGTTTGGCTGCTGACAACCAAAACCAGCTGATCACATGCTCAAGAAGGACCATCAGCCTAACAATGGATCATTAGCACACTGATGGCTGTTTACTATTCACAGAGGGCTGAGTGATACTAGCAATCACAGCATTGTAAGACGGGGACAGTTGAACCCGGAGGCCTCCACCCCTGTTTAATGATGGACAATTTCTTTTCACAAAGATGGCCTCCTTTACTCCTCTCTCAAACCATCGTTCCTCTCTGTCCAGGATGTGAACATCTTCATCCTTGAAACAGTGACCGCTGGCCTGGAGATGAGTGTAGACTGCAGAGTCCTGGCCTGATGATGTTGATCTTCTGTGCTGGGCCATCCTTTTGGCCAGTGGCTGTTTAGTTTCCCCGATGTAAGACTGATCACAGCCCTCCTGACACTGAACAACATACACAACATTGCTCTGTTTGTGCCGGGGGACTGGATCTTTGGGATGAACCAGTCTTTGTGGTGTGACATCAAAAGAGCCCATTGTTTCATCAGTCTCCATGATGACATCTCTCACCTTATCCACAAAGTCCATGGTGTTCTGTATGTGGTGTTCTGAGCTGCCAACTAAAGGGATGAGTACAGACGCCAGATATTTGGAAACATTGTAAGTGACAGAGTTAATCATGCTAACAATTGGTCTTAAAGGTACACCTTGTTTGTGGATTTTAGGTAAACCATACAGACTAGGTGTGGCCTCCCCTGGGCACAGTCTGTGGTACAGAATACGGTCAATAGCTTTGTCCTGCTCCAAAATTTTCAGGCAATCTATTAACTTCTTCTTGTAACCACCTCCTGGATCTCTTTTCAGAGGTTCATAAGTGTTTAAGTCACTAAGGAGTGTCATAACTTTCTCATGATAGTCTTTCTGGTTCAAAATCACTGTGCACCTTCCTTTGTCTGCTGGGAGAATGATGATGTTTTTGTCCTTGCTAAGAGTGGCGAGTGCATCCCTCTCCTCTCTACTGATGTTGGAAGGTGGTGGTTTGGCATTGCTGAGGCAGGATGAAACTTTGATTCTGAGCTGTTCTGCTTCACCATCTTTCATTTTGTTGTTGCGGATGGCTGATTCTGTGGTCTCTTTTGATGTCACATCACTCTTTATGTGCATTCCTGTTGATGATGCAGTAGAGGTGGTCAGTTTAAGATTAAAATCAGACACCACTCTGAGCAGCAGGACCACGCTTTCCACAGAACAACTGTGTCAACTCTTGAAACTGTGCCTGCAGTCAACCTACTTCACATATGGGGAGCAATATTATAGGCAGAAACATGGGTATGCTATGGGGTCTCCAGTTTCTCCTATTGTTGCCAACCTGTACATGGAGGAGGTAGAAAAGAGAGCCTTGACGTCCTTTTCAGGGACACCACCAAGTCATTGGTTCAGGTATGTTGACGACACCTGGGTTAAAATCAAATCTCAGGAAGTCCAACATTTTACTGACCACATCAACTCTGTGGATAAATACATCAAGTTCACACGAGAAGATGTAAAAGATGGCAAGTTGGCTTTCTTGGACTGTGAGGTCTCAGTCTCTGATAGAGGACATTTGCAAACTGAGGTGTACCGCAAACCCACCCACACAGACCAGTATTTGCAGTTTGACTCCCATCACCCTTTGGAGCACAAGTTAGGAGTCATCAGGACTCTGTATCACAGAGCAGACAGCATCCCCACTAGCTCAGGAGCCAGGCAGAAGGAGAAATCCTACATAAGACAGGCTCTAGAGCAATGTGGATATCCTAACTGGGCCTTCCTGATAGCAGAGAAGAAACCCAAACAGGACTCCAGTCAGCCAACAGGTGAAAAGGAGGAACCCAGACCCAGACCAGTGGTCATTCCATATGTTGAGGGAGTATCAGAGAAACTGAGACGTTTATTTTCTAAACATAACGTCCCAGTGGCTTTTAAACCCCAAAATACATTACGGCAAAGACTGGTTCATCCCAAAGGTCCAGTCCCCCGGCACAAACAGAGCAATGTTGTGTATGTTGTTCAGTGTCAGGAGGGTGATCAGTCTTACATCGGGGAAACTAAACAGCCACTGGCCAAAAGGATGGCCCAGCACAGAAGATCAACATCATCAGGCCAGGACTCTGCGGTCTACACTCATCTCTAGGTCAGAGGTCACTCTTTCAGGTGTAATGGAACATATATCTGTGAGATATTATCCATAAATTAAACAGATTCTTTCATTTTTCTGGACTGAGTTCTATTGTGCATTGAATTATTAAATGTGACGTGAGACGTTAATTTTCTTTGACCCATCAAAATGAATGCGGTCATTTATTAACAGAATCAAAGTTTAACATCAAACATTTACATTAATTTGGCAACATTGATTACAATAACAGCTTAATTAATCAGCTTTACAATCAGAGACCATACGGCCATGGTATCTGCTTCAAGCTTTACAACAGAC